AACCCAATTGCATGGTTTTTACTGGACGTCTTCGGCAATGATCGCAAGGCTTACGTTTGGCTACCCCTGTAGGTCATAAAGCGGGCCACCCTCGTCACATGGAACGCCCTCCTGGGCGAAGAGTTCACGGAGGACGTAAAACAGTCCTGGCAGTCCCTGCTGGATTACATCATTACGGTAATATCTGAGGGTTGCCGTATCTACGAACAGGAGGAAGAACGTGCTCTGCTGGACGCCTCGCCACAGCTAAGTGAGACCCTGTTGAGAGCGTTGCGGGCGCGCCCCAGCGTGGTCAGCATGACTGAGGAGGAATGGAAGTTGTTCCATTCGCTTTGCAGATGAAGGGCGGACGCAGGCGAAGAAGTAGCTATCATCCAAATGTAACCAGATCTATAAAGTACTCAGGATGCTGACTACGAGCTTGCCGGACGGCATTCGCTGACATCCATTTTGTATTTTTCCCGCTTCCTGAAATCATGAACCCTGTACATTTCCCTGCTTATTCTCGAACTGTTTTTGGTACTACTTTGGTCGGGATCTCCAGTATAGTTGAAGATAACTTTGTGTTCACTCTTTGCTCTAGGGTTTTGGCAAATATACATTACTATGACTTATTATGGCGTAGTTTATGGGCTATGTATGTGGCTGAGTCCCGTGGCATGTGGTTAATCCCAGGACTTACGTTTTCCAGCGATCACCCAGTATGTTGAGATATCAGTAGCGCCTGTCCCGTTTGCGAACTTCCTATCGGTTGAGCTTATTCACTAAACTTATCGAAGGTACCTTAGTTGTTTAGGAATTGATTGTTCTCCTTTTCCTCTTCACAGCCGTGCAGAAGCTGTCAGGGTATTTTCATAAAATCGTGCTTTCAAACTACTTTATGAACAAGTATACTAGATGGGCGACTTTGGCAAAGACACGTACTAGGTGATGCAGTACTGTACAATGTTATCAGGTTTTACGATCCCTACACGCGATATACACATTGAAAACTTTGTTTCGCGTGTCTGCTTTACATTTGTTATTCTGCATCGTGCAGATATACCAGAATTGCGTGTATTTTAATATCCAATTGTGAAATACGATAATATACCCAGTAAGTGTAACACGCTTCTGTTGGTTAATGCAGAAAAGTTGGAAAATGCTAAACTGTCATTGTCTTCATTCCATCTAGTTCCAGTTTATCTGCAACAAATCATATTAAAAGACATGGGCTCCTCAAAATATGTTACAGTAATAAGTTTGTGTCATTATTCTAATGCCAGAATGCGCACGTGTATCTGGTTTCTTAACGCTGTTCAGTGCCTTTTGTTTTCCTTTTTTTTGTTTTCAGTTTGTGGTTTTCTCGAATATTAATCAGCGAGGAACTATTTTGTTTTACCTTTTTTTAAATGAACTTTTGATTGGCCAACAAATAAACGTTCACATGATGTTGTCATGCATCTAGGACACAGATATTTTTTATTGCCAACTTTCAGGAAAACATTACTTTACAGCTGGCGGATTGACTATGTTCTGAAATGGCCATATAAAAAGTGCCAGTCGGTTAGGTCGGAAAGTGCATAGGTAAAGGGCATTGTGATAAGCGTCCCGGCTTGCAAACCCAAACTGACAATACAAATCACTTTAGTGAAATATGCA